CGTTGCAGGCAAGTCTGCTCGTCTTGGGCACACGCTAACGTCACACTTCACACTTCACACGTCGACAGTACCCCCATTGACCCTGTTCGGTTCGACCTCGATGCTGTTGTCATGCCAGTGGGAGACAAAGTGTCCCAACAACTGGTTGCTGCGACGCCTAGTTTCACTTTTTTCGGCAAAAGGAAGAAGACATTTGGATTAGCCGCCTTGACTGAACGCGTCACTTCTTTTCTCGCCAGCACAGCCTCTCTCCGCTTCGGTACAGAAGTGGCTGAGTCTCCGACCAACTCGGCTGCAACGTCGCCTCGGAAAGCGATAAGGAGTGGTCGTGTTGCCGTCCGGGTTGGCGGTCTGTGACTGAAGGTGAGGGAGCAAGGGTACGAGGCAAATGAGGCCGACAGGAGGCAGAATCCGCAAACGCTACGGAGCCAGTCGGTCCGTCCGTCGGTGTCAGTTTCCATTCAACACAGACACACAAAACTGCTCAGTTCAAGTCAGCGAAACCGAGTGACTGATCCCTGTTCTCAACAGAATCACAAAAGTTCTGGACTGAGGTTCTGAGGGCACGGTGAGTATGCGCAAAATGACTGGTTGGGAGAAGAGATGTGAAAACAATTCAGTTTGTAAATGATCACTTTCAACTCGCACTCTCCGTACTTCATGTACACTTGCATTTACGCGAGTGGCTAACCTGGACAGGACCTGAAGATCCAATTGTCAGTTCAGCCAGTCTGGCGACAGTATCCAATCGACAGGCCAGATCCGATAGAATGTTCTTTGCCTCCTGACTCCTCTGAATTGTCATGAATACACTCGTCTCATTACCACTTTATTAGCCACTGCCATTCTGTCTCCAAGCAGGTGGCATCCTTCACATATTTCCCTCATTTCGAGGGCTCAATTTGTGTAAACACTTTCTGTTTATGTAATTTTATCTTTTTCTGCCAAATCATCCTCCTCGAATTTGACCCATTATGCTTTCATCTACGCCCAATTATGCAAGTGTCGTCTACTTGAATGCAAGTCTTCAGACTCCACAGACGAACAAGCAGCCTAAAAGGACTATCCTGACGTGAAAATTATTCCATCTACTTTACTTGACAACTCGTATTGAAGCGAGTTTTGGCACCTTACGCGTCGCAGTAACAGTTTCTCGGCAACTTGACCAACTTTCCATCAAACACCAACTTAACCCAATCATGAATCACCTTATCCAAACTCAATGCAAGAAGCCTGGCCGAGAGTTTGGCGAATTCAACTTGGAATAAAAGTGAAAAGCATGCGTATAACATGGCTGCTAATTTTTCAATAAATGACTTAGAGCACATGTGACTAATGTTTTCGAATGTGGCCATCATGTGTCAGCAGAGAAAGCAATAGCGACCGTTGGAACCCGAAACACATCTGCCTTGCTTCGCGAACAAAAGACTCCCAGGCTCTTTCTGTACCCGTGCTCGAGGCTAACCTTTGCCGATCACTCAATCCAGTGCTCTCTGATGGTGTTTTCGATTGACCCAATACTTGGCACGATGCCTGGATGGTGCACTGTAGTGGCATCTTACTACTACTTCATACATATTTCCCCACTACTACTTTTTCTCATCATCCAATGATAAGCAATCGTGCTTGTAGGGCGCACTTCACCAAAATGATTTACTTCTTGCTATAAGCCAATTCGGTCTTCTCAACTGAGGTTCGTGTCAGAAGATTCTGAATAATACAATTTTAGTTTTTCCCTCCTCATTGCTACAGATGCAGATTGGCTAATATTAAGCTTGATTGGAAGCAAGTTTTCATTTAATTCAGAAAATTTTAGCTTTGCACCAAATTCGTCTTTTTCAATTTTAAACATTATAACTACGGTTTTTATACTTCTGACTGCAATTTGGCCTTTATTCAGACTTTCAATTTATAATTGCAAACTAACTTTTCTAGAGTTTAAGCTTTACAGCATACACCTCTACTCTCTTGACCTTTCGCTCATTTTGGCCGACCTGAATGCTGAAGAGGTATTTGGAAAAACAGACGATAGAGCATGCAGTTTATCTTT